GCTCCAGCCATTGTCTCCATTCCCAAATGGACCGGGCTCTCTCACACATACTTCCTGGCTTTTGAAAGTGCTGTTGCCTTTTGTGCACAACATACCCCACACCAAATCCATTTAACTAAATAATTAATACTTTTCACTCATCCTTCCAAACTAAAGCCTTCCCAGGTCTCCCTGCTTAGGGTAGCGTAAGCCTCTCTTATGCATTGCCTTGGAGGCCTATACTTACCTTCCTCATAAAGTATATTACAATAGACTGATGGCAACCTGACAGCAGGTGTGTCTTGTGTCTGTATCCTCATGGCTTAACATAGTTTCTCGCACCATATATAGTGCTCGATAAGGATTAGTTGAAAAAATAAATGAATAATCAATGAGAGACACCAGGATATGAGGTAACATTGTAAAGTATATAATGTTTTGACAGTTCTTTTCTTCTTTTCTTTTTTTTTTTTTGAGACAGAGTCTTGCATTGTTGCCTGGGCTAGAGTACCGTGGCGTCAGCCTAGCTCACAGCAACCTCAAACTCCTGGGCTCAAGCGATCCTTCTGCCTCAGCCTCCCGAGTAGCTGGGACTACAGGCATGTGCCACCATGCCTGGCTAATTATATATATATATATATATTTTTAGTTGTCCAGATTATTTCTTTCTATTTTTTTAGTAGAGATGGGGTCTCGCTCTTGCTCAGGTTGGTCTCGAACTCCTGACCTTGAGCAATCCACCCGCCTCGGCCTCCCAGAGTGCTAGGATTACAGGCATGAGCCACCGCGCCTGGCCTCTTCTTTTCTTTTAATCATTCTTTCCTTTGATTCATTGTAATCAGCAAACTTGTCATTGGGGTTCATTGCCAGCCTCCTAGTACAATCCCTAGATTTGCAGGGGGAAGGGGTTCAAGTCATGAAAAATGTGAAATTAACATAAAGCTACACAAAGCTTTTGTGACAGGGGCTCTTCTGACTCGAGGATCACACAAAAACTGTAAAATCAGGTTCAGAAATAAGAGCAAAGAATTGTCATCTTTCTTTCCACACACTCCCTCTAGTGTCAAGAACTCCAAGTAAGCTAAGGAAGAAAATAAAACCCAATGAGTTCAAAGGGGTCTCTGTCTCAAGCCTCATTCACCAGCTTTTAAAATACATTGAGATTCCATCACATCACCTATTCTGAGAGAAAGGAACCAATAAATGAGAATGGTCCAGGCTGCATCCTCTTTCCTTGAAGTCACCACAGCTACAGTCACAGTGCTGGGTGGCCCCTGGCCATCTTCATGCAATTGTGCCCAACCTAGGTCCCTAGAGCCCTGGGCATCAGAGGAAAGAGTATATTGGGGTCCTTGAGAGGACTGTGGCATTGCAAAATGCCTAAAGAAATTGTATCATTACTAAAGATGAACCTGGAAACCACCAAAGAAATTGGCAAGTATCTTTGCCTTCAGCTGGAAATTTATCAGCTTGGTATTGGATCGGCACTGCCTGTCTCCCACTCACTAATGGTAGTTTATCTTGAATTAGTTGAAAATAGGAAAATAAGTAATGGTTTCATACATGTGGTTGCTAAAGAGTGTAAGATATGTTTAAATTTGGGGCTCATAAAGGTAAACAATAAATAAAGTGGTCCTTTGCAGCAGAAAAACTGGACCCACTTCCCTGCCGCCCTATTGGCCTGTGAGGTATAGATAAACTAGGCTACTTTCGATTAAACGATTCATTTGCCTGTACTAGTGAATGTCAAATAGTTATTTTTCTGGAAAGGAACTCAAACTGACTTTTATCTGTTTGGGCTCAAAAAATTTCAAAATCTTTTGAAATGACACATGGAATGAAAAAAACCTTTTAATTTCAAAATTTCCTGCAAGTCTACTGTATGAAGCCCAAAATCCTCAGTCTTTTTTATTCTACCTTTTTTTAGTTTTATCTCTCCCAATTTTATCCAATCTCCATGTAACTCCTACCCGCAGTTGACCAGGTCTCCACACCACACTAAGACTATGTTTTGAACATTCACTCATTCATTAAACAAGTATTTACCAACGGCTTTTTATGAGCCAGACATTATGCTAGGTGCTGGAGACACAGACACAGATGTGGTCTCTACCACTGGGTTGCTGTAAGAGTCCATAACAACAGCACCAAATCTGCATGTTGTTTTGAGTGTGGAGTAGGGGTGGGAGACTTTCTAAAGAGGTGGCATTGAAACTGGAATCTGAAGGCTACAAAGGAATTAGCCAAGTAAAGAGGAGAAAGCACTCCCAGTTGAGTGCTGCATATAGCATTTCACCGCATGCAAAGACCCTGGGTGTGCTTGCTCCCGCCAATCCTCTCTCCTGGACCTCTTGCCCTAAAATCTCTATAAAAACCTTTAAAAACGGTTTCAAATCCTATCTCTCCTTGATAACCATAACTAAAAAGTATCTCACCCTCAACTGAACTACCAGATTTATTATTTTTTTTAACATTTACATCACACTAGTCTATCACTGCTTTGTGTGGAAGGCTATTAGCATACTTGTTCTATTCTCTCAGTTATATTACAAGTTCTTGGAGAGCAGAAATCCTTGCACATGGTAGGAATTCAAAGAGTTGTTGGTCTGAATTATTTTTCTTTACATTCCTCCCAACTGCTATCCTTAAACCCAGCTGGCACTCAGATATTTCCGTGAGTAAACTAGAAAGAATGAAAATTTTTCAAAAGTACAGAGAAGAGTAATGATTGTCAAGAGCCATGAAGAGTCTGAGATCCTACTCTATTTGCAAGCTGTCAAGTCAGCCTGCCATGGTTGCATGGATGCTGGTGGAAGACACGAGACTCCTTGGCCAGAAACAAAGGATGCAATTACTGATGGTGCAGCAAGCAGCATGAGCATCAGCATGTTTGTGTCAGTTCCCGTTGGCCCCAGTCCCATGGGGATGATGCAGATCGGGGTGTCAGGTGGATGCCTCAGCATGAGCCTTGTGTTGCATTAGAGAGAGGAACCGTGAGCTAGGAGAACCCAAATCTTTTATGATAGGCAGTAAGCATGAGGTCTTTTGCTCCAGAGGAAGACATTGTATTTCCCAAGGTTGTTCATTATACAAACTGCCTTAAAAAGAGAGTCCATAACAAAAGCCAGAGAGATCTCTGCTTGCAAGACATGCAGAAACATGAGAGACTCATGGAGAATTACCTCACAACATTGAGTAAACAGGCATTGTTATTGTTTATTGAGTGCTTACATGTGCCAGGCCCTTTGCTAAGTGTTTTATATGCATTATCTCTTTCTTTTTTTTCCTCTAAATAAACATATGTGAAAATATTAACAAATTTATGGGAAAATATTTTTATAAATTAAGACCTTCAGGATACAAATAATAGCAAAATGGAGAATTCGAAAATACACAGGTACATTAGAAAGGTCTCAGAGAGGAGCTATATCTATTAGCTGAATACCATCTGGACTCTCACTGCATCTGCTATCCCTGCTTTTCCCTCACTGTACTTCTGTGGCCTACTTGGTAGAATATGGTTGCTCCGAGCTCTTCAGCTCTCTTGCTATAGTTCCAGCCAGCTTCAGAAGATGATTAAGAATCCCTGAATCTAATTGCCAGGTCCACAAAGAGAACATGACTGGCCCAGCTTTGGTCAGGTGAATAATCAACAACTGTGTATGTGTATTGGGGAGAGAGCTTTACAGTAATATAAACAATAACTAACAAGTATTAATAAAGAGGCCCACTTTTTCCATAATCATTAAGGTAAGTGAAAATACTGTGGTACTATTTACTGGTATCTTCCACTAGCCTGTGAGCTGCTCCACAACAGGGATCATATCACTTAACAAAATTATAATCATTCATATATCTATATATACACACATATATAAAAATAAGAATTTTCCTGTATTTAAGATTATTTTAAAAAATACTTAATGTTTGCATACTATTCCAGCTTGGGATATTTCTGCAAGTTTTTTTTTCTTTTTGAGACAGAGTCTCACTCTAACGCCCAGGCTAGAGTGCAGTGGCATCATCACAGCTCAACTGTACATCAAACTCCTGGGCTCAAGTGAGCCTCCTGCCTCAGCCTCCCTTTTGCAAGTCATTGATTGAGTCACTTTTGAATATTTAGATTATTTCTGATTTTCCACTACTATAAATAACATCGCAATAGCCATCATTTTAAAAAATCCATTTTCTCGGGATACCTTCTCAGAAGTGAAACTCTGGCTGTTCACTTTTTATAGTTTCATAAATACTATTAAATTTCTTTCCAAATATGCTGTATTTATTACACTTCTGCCAGCAACGTGAGTAACCTAACTGCATATTCAGTAGCACTGAGAATTATTATTTTTCAAAAAAAACTCTTTGATAGGTACAAATCTTTTTTTTTTTTTTAATGGTGAAATTAAACTTTTTTCCAATTTTCAAAATAGCAATTTATATTTCCTCTCCATGAATTATCTGTTAAAGCCCTTGCTGGCAGGAATCAAGTTTTGTTCTTCTTTTAATGCGCCTCAATGCTTAGAATGGTGCTTGTTACATAGCTGACTCTCACAAAGCTTTCAATACATACAGATAGGAAACTTGGCGGTAACTCTTTAGATTCTTGTGAGAATAATTAAGCCACTAAAACCTAACGATTGTGCAATATTTTAGGATTTACAAACAGTACTCACGTATATTAACGCATTCGAACAGCACAACAACTACTGTGCATTGCTACTTCCGGCACTTTACCACACGAAGCAAAGTCCGGCATAACTGAGGTCTGAGAGGGATAAATAGTGAAAATGAGGTCCACGGAGGAATTCAGTTCCTCCGGAGAGAGGGAATAAACCAGCTAAAGTAGTTGGTCCTCCCGTACACCAGAGGGCGAAGCAGGAGGATATGAAGCGGCATGAACGAGGTGTTAGCTGGACTACATTTCCCAGAAGGTTTCGTCCGCCCCTGTGCCACCCACGATCCTCCAAGATGCTCAGCGGCCGAGGACTTCAGGCCCCAGGTTGCTGTGCGGCTAGATAGGCCTCCGTCTCCCACCGACCTGAGCGCACCACGGCCGCTTGCTAAGTCACAGGAATCTGCTGTTGGACTCATTGCCAGGAAATGGGCCCCGGAAGGTTCTCCGACAAGATCCCGCTGTCTTAAGGCGGTAACGGTGTTCACAGGTCGGGAAGGGGCGGTGGGAGAAGCGGAGAAACTCTGAGCCATGCTAGTGAACTGTGGGCCAGTCTGTGAAGAGGCCCAGCTCTGCGGGGCCGCGGTTCGCGCCTGAGCTGGAAGTTTGGCTTGTGACAGATCGAAAACTACATTTCCCAGCATTCTTGAGGCGCCAGAACTACCTTTCCCGAAAGCCTGAGCGAGATTCAGCCCGACTTCCGCCTCCTCCCGCCAACCGGAAAACTGTGAGACTATGAGGAGTTGGTGGGCTTGGCGGCTCTTGATTTCTAAAAGCAGCGGGAGCTGCTGCGTTTCAACTCCCCGGGAGCATTTCTCGCCGGTCCTGCGGAGAGGTGAGACGAGGCATCGTGTTAACGATGCCCGAGTGCTCTCTAGGGATACGATTCCCGTGGGTTGTGCCTGCTAGGCGAACGGGAGGCGAAGGTGCCACGCCCTCCTCCCCAGCCCACGCCTGATGCTGGCGATACCAGTGCCCCAACTCACCCAAGCTCGCCCCAAAGTTCTAGGACTGAAAAGAGAACTGCCTTTCTCTTCTGTAAGCAAGCCTCTGAAGGCCTGGGCATCTCGTCCGGCTTCTTTCTGAGCCCTTGTTTCCGTTTTTTCTGTGACATGAGGCCGGTAATTTCGTAGGTTTCTCAAGAGCAAGCGTAGGGTGATCTGTGTTTGGGGGTGTCCTGATTTCTTTTGTGGCCTGTCCGAATTTAGACTTACTTAGGTTCTAGCCTCTAGCCCATGTCAGGTCTGCTTTATCCTCGCTGTAATTTTCGGTACACTGCAATCACATCGTAGCCATTCAAAAAAAAAGTGAATACTGGAACCTGTAAGTTGTGCCCCTGTTAATGCATCCTGAAGAACATCTGACTTTATTCTGAGAAATGTTTCAACAGTTGGCTTGTTTTTGTTTGTTTTCCAAATTTTCATACTCTTTACATTTGTTCACAAAACAGGCACTTCGTACTTAATTATGTACCTTCCTGAATCTTAATTGCCAGGTAAACTGAGCCATTCAGTACCCAAACACACCATCCCACCTCTACACTGTTAATTGTGCTCTAAAGTTTCACTTTGTTGCTCATTGTTTCATTTTACTCACACCAGTGACAGCTGCAGTCAAAACTGCAGTTGCTGATCTGCCTTGTGGTCCCAACTCCTAGGCCAAGGACCGATATGGACCGATATCAGTCCATGGCCTGTCAGGAACCGGGCCGCACAGCAGGTGAGCAGTGGGTGAGCAAGCAATTATAAATCATCTGCATTTACAGCTGCTCCTCACCGCTCTGCCTCCTGTCAGATCAGCGGGGCATCAGATTCTCATAGGACCGGGAACCCTACTGTAAACTGTGCATGCGAGAGGGATCTAGGTTGCGCACTCGTAAGAATCTAATGCCTGATCTGAGGTGGAGCTGAGGCAATGATGCTAGTGCTGGGGAGCAGCTGCAAATACGGATTATCATTAGCAGAGAGGTTTGGCTGCACAATAAATGTAATGTGCTTGAATCATCCTGAAACCATCCCCCTCCTCCTCCCGCTTCCCCAAATCCGCGGAAAAACTGTAGTCCATAAAACCGGTCCCTGGTGCCAACATGGTTTGAGACTGCTAATCTATAAGATTGCTGTTTAGCTGGGCAGAGCCATTCACAAGGTCTGGTTACATATTTGGGGGTGTTTAGCATACACATACATTATAATGGACTTTGCCAAAAGGAGGTAGCATTTTTTTGAATCCTAGAAAATCATCCAAATCTCATCTTTGTTAACTTTTAGAGATATGCTTTGTTTACATATGCAAATGAAAACATAAACATTTTTAGAGAATGAACTCTAAAGTACATATCATACTGGAAAATGTATCACCATAAGTAAAGTTTAATGTTTTAACTTAATGGAGTTATCCCACTTGAGTCTGAGTGTTCTTAGAGAAACCTTAAGTCTCCTCTTACAAACTAATATGATTTGTGTCCCTCCTCACTAAACAAGTATTTATTGAATGTTTACTATGTATAAGGAGTTTAAATTTGCCTAATAATGTCAGTAATCATGGAATTTGAAACCTTTTGACCTCTGACCCATGGAAGGACCTTAGTTATCATCTAGTCCAATTCCCTTTTTAAAGATAAATAAGCAAAGACATAGGAAGGTAATATGATTTGTCTTAGTTTTATGCCCAATAGTGCTGGACTCCCAGTTTATTACTACTATGCAAACTTAGAACACCGGAAACACTAGAAATGCTTTTAAAAATAGAGGTTCTCAGGCCCTATCCCAGAACTAAGTCCCTCTCTAGGGGTAGAGCCCAGGGATCTCTTAGTTTATTATTTAATGTATCAATCCTGATACAATTAGTATAGCACATGTTAATAGACCAGCATTTAAGAATATATGCTGTAATGCCCATTCTTTGAGTTCCTTACAGGAAAATAACCAGCCGTGTCACTGAAATGTTTCAGCTTTAAAGTTAGCAGTAAATTAATATAAAGCTTACAGCTTAGATTTAATGAAACACCATTTTCCATGTTTTTTCAAAAGTAAACTCTGGACTTTTGCAGTAAAAAGGTGCTTGGTATTTAGATAGGCCAGAGTTCCAATCCACAATATATGACTTAGTTGCTTTGTGAAGCCTTTAAACTCTGAATTTGTTTCTCACTGTAAAAAACAAAATAAAACAAAAAAGAATGTAAGTATGAAAGAATCAAAAGTAACAATGAAAGATTTGGGGGTTTGGACAGATGTTTAAGTTCTGGGAACTTTTAAGTTATTAAGGGCCTGTTATTCCACCTTGAGCTGGAAACACTGATTCTGGTTGTTTCATCTCTACCTACTAATACCCCTACAAAGACTCTAAGGAGCACTTATGAGTTGAACTGCTCATGACACCCTACTATGAATACACAGGGGCTTTATTGCCTCCAAAGAGTGAAACTTAAGTCCTACTGCTAGGGAGGGTATCAGCACCTACCTCATAGGATTGTGGGGACTAGCAAAATATTACATAAATATTTGAGCACATATAAGGAATAAATGTTCCACATATTCTTCTGTATTCTCCTCAGCACACATAGTCAAAGTTTGGCAGTTTCTGCTCTTCAGCAGTTAGAGTTGAGGCAATGATATCCAAAGCATTTGATGTACATTATATTACAATTTTAGACTGACTCTTAACATTTCTGAATACTGAAAGAAGGTAAGGAAACATTTGTTGAAAGTTTGCGATGTACAGAATAATGTCAGAAAAGAGAGGCTCAGGATAGTCAATTAACTTGTGTGTGATTATAAAATTCCTAATTAGAAGAGCTGGAACTATATTATAAATAGATGGGGAAAATGATATAGAAGCTACAGTGTGATACCTCTATCAGTTACTACAAGGGAAAAGAAAAGGCATTGTGTTCTCTTTTCAGATTTCTTCACCACCACAACCAAGGAAGGATATGATAGGAGGCCAGTGGACATAACTCCTTTAGAACAAAGGAAATTAACTTTTGATACCCATGCATTGGTGCAAGACTTGGAAACTCATGGTGAGAAACATGAATACCTCTTGAAAAAAGAAAAATAATAGCATTCGTATAATAAATTGCCTAGTCAAGACAGTATCCGTATTACAAAAACTAAGACTTTTTTGAATAGAAGTGCCATCCATACAATGAAATATTTTACAGTGCTTAAAAAGGGTATTGCTTGAAAAATATTTACTGATACGGGAAATGCTTGAAATACGTTAATTGAAAACAGCATTATATAAAATTATAAGAGCAGAATGATTCCAGTTATATAAAAAGAAAAAACTAGAGTTCCTAGGCTGATACTAAAGTCTATGTGGAAGTACAAATGTTCAAGAATAATAGAAAAAAATCAAAGAACAACACAAAAAATTACCACGTATCAAAAGAGTAATTAAAATCATGTGTTATTACAGGAATAAAAAAGTTGATTAATAGAACTGAATGGTATTCAGAGATATATGTATATGAATTTAGCATGTGATGAAGGCATTACAAATTAGGGAAAGGAAAGATTATTTAATAAATGAGATACAATGAATGACTAGCCATTGGGAAAAGATATATTAGATCCCCTTACTGAAAACTAAATTTCAGATAGATGAAAAGCTAAATGTAAAAGGTCAACAACTTTATAGAAAAAGTGGGCAAAAGCTTTAAACAAGTAGCACACAGAAAACTAAATATAAATAACCAAAAAATATGTGTAAAGGTGCTTAACCTCACTATCAATCGAGGAAATGTAAATTTAAGTACAAATTAAAATAATAATGCAATACCATTTTTTAATGCCAATTATACACTCAAAAATAAAAAAGGCTGGCCGGGCCTGATTACAGGCTCAGCACCTATAATCCTAGCACTTCTGGAGGTTTAGAATGGAGGATTGCTTGAGGCCAGGAGTTCAAGACCAGCCTGGGCAACATAGCAAGACCCTGTCTCTACAAGAAATTTTTTAAAAAATGAGCCCCACATGGTGGCACATGCCTGTAGTCCCAGCTACTTGGAAGGCTGAGGTGGATGATTGCTTGAGCCCGGGAGATCAAAGTTACAGTGAGCTATGATCGGGCCACTGCACGCCAGCCTAGGCAACAGAGCAAGACCCTGTCTGTAAAAAAAATTTTTTTAAATAAAAAAGACTAGGAATATCCAGTGTTGATGTAGATGTGAGGGAAGACAGTGGGAATTAAAATTGTTGAGTGCTTTTATGTACCAAATATTTAATTGTAACCATTTTTTTAAAAGAGTATGAAAACTTAAGTCTTGTGGAAGGTTCTTCTATTCTGATAAGAATGCGCACTTTTTAAAAAATACGAATACCTATTTGCTGCCTACAGGATTTGACAAAACACAAGCAGAAACAATTGTATCAGCATTAACCACTTTATCAAATGTCACCCTGGATACTATCTATAAGGAGATGGTCACTCAAGCTCAACAGGTAATATATTCATTTTGTCACTTCTGACAGTTTCATTAGATAATCTTTTTCATAACTACATCTCTGTCTACCCACTGGCCTTCCAGACACACCTGTATCTTCCTTGTTGTCTCTAAAGGGACCACAAAAAAAAAAAAAAAAAGAAAGAAAAACTATTAGTAAAGCTGTTATCCAGAGAGGCTGAAGAGTTAAAATAACTGTAACAAGATTATTGTAACACAGAGAATGGAATTTTGCCAAATCTTTCATTGTTAGTGAAACAACTCCCCACCCCGACCCCCGAAAGCCCACCACAGTAGAAGCACTAACCTTTCTATATAGTAAGTATATTTTATTGCTGTCATATGTATGTTTTGGCTAATTTTCACAGACTTAGAAAGCTGGAATGGACTTGTATGCCAGGCAACAACTTAATAAATTGCATGACTAAGATGATTTAATTTGACTGGAGATAAAAATCTTTAAAGTCAAATAATGCTATTTACTAAGAATTTAAGATGTAGGCCGGGCGCAGTGCCTCACGCCTGTAATCCTAGCACTCTGGGAGGCCAAGGCAGGTGGATCGCTCAAGGTCAGGAGTTCAAGAACAGCCTGAGCAAGAGCGAGACCCCATCTCTACTAAAAATAGAAAGAAATTATCTGGACAACTAAAAATATATATATAGAAAAAATTAGCCGGGCATGGTGGCGCATGCCTGTAGTCCCAGCTACTCGGGAGGCTGAGGCAGGAGGATTGCTTGAGCCCAGGAGTTTGAGTTTGCGCTAGGCTGAAGCCATGGCACTCTAGCCCGGGCAACAGAGTGAGACTCTGTCTCAAAAAAAAAAAAGAAAAGATGTAAGAAGCACAGTGCTGAGTACTTTTCATATATTATTTTATCTCTAACAACCTTGAAAAGTAGGCAAAATTCTATTTTGCCATGGAAGACAGACTCAGGAGTAATTTGCAAGTGTTCATTATAGTGATATGGACAAAAAGCAGTAATTTTACATAAAGGATAGAATAAGCTAAATGAACTTAACTGGAATAATAATTTATTTCTGTCAGTCATGAATAATTCACTATGTTCAAGAATCTGTTTTCTTCCTATGGTTATATTTTTAAAATTTTAATTTTTCAAGTCTAGTCTTCCTCAGATAAATATTTTACAACATGGAGAGAAAAATGAGGATTTCTCACATGAAATTAGAATCTCTTGCATAAAATTTCATTACTTTAAGGGTCACTGAGAATCAAAAGCTTTTAAAGATTTTTACTATAATGTCCAAATAGACACTTAGAATTAAAACATTCAACCCCTACCTTTAATTTACCTTTAAATTTGTATATGCATTATTTTAGCTAGCTTATTTGGGATCATAGCTAAATCCACTAAAGAAAAAGCCAAGCATTTAATTAGTTCCCACAAAACTCTGAGCTAGCCTGAAAGAGCTATGTAGAGTTATTGACATTTTTAACAAAGCAATTTACTCTTAAATTTTTATAATTTTACCTATAAGAAGTGAATTAAAACTATGATTTGAGGAGTCTTCATGCTGCTAGGACCATTTAATCCTACATACAAAATGTAGGATTGGGTATAGGAATATTACTATTAAACTTTTGGCTTTTTTATTACTGGTGTGTGAAGTTACAGTCCTGTTCTACCCTTGAGCCTAACCCCATTGCTGACCTAGGATAGAATAAGGCTCAAAGATGTCATGAAGGATGGAGCTAAGGCTCAGGGTCATCAGACATGTAAGCTATATACCTTGATCACTTCAGAAGGGGCCATACTAAGTCAAGTCTCCTCCATCTGAGAATTCAACTATTGTGAATTCGCTTATAATCTGAATATTCTGATGGCTCCACAGTAGTTACAACAAGCACACTTAACTGAGTTGACTACTTAACAATGGATTGTATCGTTCCATTTAAAGTTTTTGAAGAGGGACACCGGTGCTGTTGTAGGCCTTTTGAGTCTGTGTTTAAAGGAAGAATGAGGTAAAAAAAAAAAAAAAAGGGAGCTATAAGGGCCACAGTACCATCCCTTATTCCAAGGTTCACACTCCACAAGAAATCTATAATTATATTTCCAATTCTTCCCTATGTAGTCTCAGTAATAAAAATACATTATATTTAATGCCGTAAAACTCCTTTGTAATGATATATGGGCAGAACAGGACTGACAGCCCCTAGATGCCACATCTATATGACTGCTGAACTAATTCTCACCAATATTTCAAGCAGAATTGAATAAAAAGAATAAACTCCCTCCCCAATGTCATTATTATGAGTGTTAGGGAAGGCATAAGAGTCAGGGATAGCTGTTGTACACAGCTAAAAACTCTTTTTTAATATTAAGATTAATTTAAGATTAATATTTAAGTCAAAACTTCCTCCACATCAAAACATTAGAGTCAGACTGTCCTGCTTTAGCCATCAGTAACTAACAATGTGTGCTAACCATGTGCCAAGTACTATTTTAAGCAGCATTATACCTACATTATCTCATTTAATCCTCAAAATAACTATAAAGTATAGGTACTATTATTATTTCCACTTTACCAATGAGGAAACCAAAGAAGTTAAATAACTTTCCAAAGTCTCACAATAAATGGTAGAGCTTGAATTCAAACCCAGATAGCCTGACTCCAGAACTCACACTTTTAACCTCTACTTTACGTGGCTGTGCCATCTGAAAATTGTTCTTGGAGAAGATGTGTGCGTTTCAGACCCTTTGATGACTGAGTCATTTCTTGGTCATGTGTCTAGAATTATTATAGCCTCCCTTTTCTAAAAGTCATGTCAGTTTTTAAACAGTCTTTCTCACCCAAGCTACCACTGGCTACAAATTGTGACTTTAAAAATGGGAGTTCCAGCTAGGATCCTGTTCTTGTTTGGGCTTTTGAGTTTGTTTATAAACCCTATTATACAGAGTCCTTATCAAAGTTACACCCTCATCTGCTCTTACTTTTGGTAAAGAAAGGTAAATGACGAGTTAGCAAGCTACCTAATTTTAAGAAGTTTAGTGGTACAGGTTGAGTATCCTTTATTCAAAATGCTTGGGACCAGAAGTGTTTTGGATTTCAGATTTTGGAATATTTGCATTGTACTTACCAGCTGAGCATCCAAATCCAAAATCTGAAATGCTCCCATGAGCATTTTTTTTGGGCATCATGTCAGTGCTCAAAAAGTTTCAGACTTTGAAACATTTCAGATTTTCAGATTAGGGATGTTCAACCTGTAACAATTATATTTTCTTAAATCATTTCTACAAAAATGTCCCTCCCAAGCAAAGCAAAAGCTTTTAAATCTATCAGGTAGGGGCCACCTTTCACAAATTCTCTGTAGTACCAGGTATCAGGAAGATAGGCAAGAATTTAAACAAAATTAATTATGCTGACAAAGAGCAATTATTTTAACCATACATCTCTCTATTTTGTTTTACTGCATGACTTCTGAGTCTTATCCTATGCCATGGAATTTTCCAATGGTAGAAAATCCTCCAAATTCAAAGCAATAAAAGATGATAAAAGCCTTTTCATTTAGGTATCCAAAAAATAAAAACAAAACATTATTTGTTGAGGAACTCTTAGGAGGTAAGAGTAAGCATTTTATTGGAATTCTTTTCATTATAAGACCTATACATTTATTTCTCTTCACTAGGAAATACTTTTTTCTTTTTTAAATCTCCTTTTTTTCATTTCTACATTTCGGTTTCATTTTTTTTTTACTTAGCCAATCAATATCATACGTTGTAGCATGTTAACAAATTCTTTTAAATTTCATGAAAACAATTCCATAAATAAAAGGATGGCATTCCATACATCACTAGGTTATTTTTATTTTGTTTTCTAGGAAATAACAGTACAACAGCTAATGGCTCATTTGGACTCCATCAGGAAAGACATGGTCATCCTAGAGAAAAGTGAATTTGCAAATCTGAGAGCAGAGAATGAGGTGATACAAATTTTAATTTATTACCCATAAAATAACTCATCTCTACAGTAAAAATAGGTTATAAAAGAAAAATTTTTTTAAAAATAACTGATGTCACAAGTGTTTTACTTGGTGAATAAGCTAATAAGACCAACTAACAATTTTATGTGGTTATTAGACAATTAACAAGTTTTTAGATAAAATGTATGCTGTTTATTTAACCATAACTTATCTTTCTATGCATAAATTAGTTTTTTGCACACTGAAGAATTATATTTTATACATATAAAAGTCACATAAAAGGGAAAATCTTTGAGTTCTATATTTATTCTTTAAAATTTCTAGTGTAGCTCATAGTATAATGTTCTCAGAACTAAAAGTAATGTGGCATTTTTGGTTTGACTTGATCCTGTACTAATTGTCTTTATCACTTAAGAGAAAACTATGTTTTTGTAGTTAAATCAGAATTTTAAGTTGTATTATCCTCTAGCTTAAATATTTTCAAATTTAGAAATCATTTTTAAAAGTAGAATTTAATATTAAAATATAAATGCATTTTCTGATGTTTTGTTCATAAGAGTTATTTTCTGAATATGATAGTTTACTAGTTTCTTTTTAAAATTTTTTCTTTATCAAATTCTGTATTAGAAATCCATAGAGTGTCCAGATTTTGCTAATCCAGGGTTTCAGTTTTAAAATAAATCATGATATGGACTTTTGGTTTACTGCTGATTGCATGTGATCTTTCTTATACCTAGAAAATGAAAATTGAATTAGACCACGTCAAGCAACAATTAATAGTAAGTGAAATTTTTTTTCTACTTATTAATTTCAGAATATTCATTACAAGATCTTTTTTAAAAAATATGTTTATTTCTTTTAAAGCATGAAACCAGTAGAATCAGAGCAGATAATAAACTGGACATCAATCTAGAAAGGAGCAGAGTAACAGATATGGTAATGGATATGTGCTTTTAAACATACTTTCTTCATTACTTATTCCTTTTTAGTCTTCTTTTTGTTTTTTAAACTTTTTGCTGCTTCACATCCTACAGTTTACAGATCAAGAAAAGCAACTTATGGAAGCAACCACAGAATTTACAAAAAAGGTAAAGTAGTATGTAAAAATTTCTCTTTTGTACAGTTCTTATCCCTGTATGACTGCTTTTATGTGTATCAGTTTATAAGTTTGGACTTTAAAGAGCTAGCCCTACAGAATATATGATTTCCTCATAGCTATTATAGTTAGCCAGCATTTTATGGAAGCTACCACCAGGTAGATGGTCATGAGCCGTGACTTCAGAGTGAGAATCAAACTTTCCACATAGCATACTTTTTTAAAACTAAATTATTTTTATATAGAAAATAACTACTTTTTAAAAGACAAAGATTCACTATTGGTGTTAATATTTCACAAGTGGGTATTTAAATGAGTGCCTAGGCTCAGTTAAGTATCTTAAAATTCTGAAAAATCATAGTAAGTATTTCTGTTAATGTGCCAGATCCTATTTTGCATGCTTTGTTTGTATCTGTTAATTTACTTAAACTTCGTATCACCCTCTGCGAGGTAGGCACTATTATTCCCATTTTACCAATTTTGAAAATGAGGCACAGAGAGGTTAAGGTCACCAGTTAATAAGTGGGATAGCTTGGAAAAGAACCTGGATTCTAAACCCCATACTCAGAACTACTGCCTCTTGTCAATAATTCTTTTTTTTTATTTCAACAATAATTCTAAAATGTAATTATTACTTAATCTCTATGGCTTGAGTAAAATTCTGCTTTCTGATTCAGTCTAGTCCTTGTCTTAAAAGTTCAAAGCCATCACTCTTACTCATAATTTAATAGAAGAGAAGGTCACATTTGTCCTTTCAAGGATACTAATCTCTTCTCTTACTTCTTAACCAGATAAAGGAGATAAACAAGGAAATCAGCAAATTCTCTCAAAACTAATTTCTGAGCTCTAGGTCCCTTCTTATCTCTCCTCCTACCCCTTGACCCCTATACACGTAGCATTCAATGTTAACACATCAGGTATTTCTGCCAGTTCCTTTAATATTAGTGCCAGTTCATAGTATAAACCTCATTGATTTTTTATGTGCAGAATATATTTAAAGTTTTATCTATAATCTGCTAAGGACTTTACACACATAAAGTGATAGTTCTGTGACTAAAATTTTTCCTTCTTAGTTTATCATCTTATATATTTAGGTCTCAAATATTTTATTAGGAGGTTTATAATAGAATATGCCCAGTATGTGATAATCCTAAGAAATGATCTTCAAATAGGAAAGTAGAAGGTACATGACTTGTCAGTTTGTAGTGTTCATTTAATGTTTTTTTAATACCACTGTACTTTTACTGTTTCCCCAATTAAGACTTTTGCAATGCAGAATTAGGCCATAAGTGAGGGTTTCTAATGTAAATGTTTTTGTCCATTTAATACATAGAGAAAAAATTTAGTTCTCCTATTTATTCTTATTTACTACAGGATACCCAAACCAAAAGTGTTATTTCAGAGACCAGTAATAAAATTGACACTGAAATTGCTTTCTTAAAAACACTGATGGAGTCTAACAAACTTGAGACAATTCGTTATCTTGCAGGTAAGACTTTGTCAAAAAAAGGAATTGCTGACATTTAATTTATAGACTTGTTAGTTCCTTTCTCTTTTTTTCCCTGCTCTTTGTGAAGAAAGGGACCTGTTAGTTCCTATCTCCCAAGATGACAGTGTAGGCACAGAAAAAAACAGAAGAGCTATAATAAGGCTTCTTTATTGCCTGATCCCTTGTAGTCTTTGAAGAAGGTTCCAAACTCAGCATATAAATTTAACAGGCAACTCTGTAACATACTAATAGCTGAAAGCATATGGATATCAAAGAAATATATAAACACAAGTACAAAATGATACAAGTATAAACTAGGTATTACACAGTGAAAAGAATGAAAATTTGCTTTTTATTGCTTATATCCTTCATAAGGATTTGAGTGAAGTTAGAGAGAAAGATCAATACAGTATATACAGGCCATTAAAACCATAGCAAGCTTGGGCCGGGCGCGGTGGCTCACGCCTGTAATCCTAGCTCTCTGGGAGGCCGAGGCGGGCGGATTGTTTGAGCTCAGGAGTTCGAGACCAGCCTGAA